CATTGATGAAGATACTCGATCGTCCCACATTCTCTAATGTGATTAACATTCGAGAGGTTCGCGCGTATCTTTAATAACAAATGTGTATCCAGGTTCATTCAGCTCGGCTGTAAATCTCGTTAATAGTTTGATTCGTCGTTCGATTATCAATTTTAATTTGCCGCGCGTGATTCTCGTCGAATTTCAACAGATGAGTCGAACACGAAAATCAATCTTCTGTTTATTATCAACACACTGCGGGTCTTTATGCAAAATAAAAATGTCCTGTATCAATTATAAGACAAATGAGCCAAGTACAATTTTATTTATTTCTGTAATTATATATATATAAAAAAATATATATATATATATATATTTTTTTTTTAAGCTGAAAATACTGTATCAACATTCTTAGCTTCTTTTAATCTTCTCGCTGCTTTTAATTATATCTACCCATTTTTGCCATAAATGCATAAAATCTAATTATCAAAATAGGTGTTTATTTACCGCCCGATATGATTCAATCGTTTTGTCTTCACCGACCGGCGTATTGTTTAACCGAATTACAATAATTATTCCCTAACTCGCGCTCAGATTACGCACAAAAAATGGGCAATTTGGGAAGAGGAGATACGATTGTTCGAGCACTTTTATAGTTGCTGACAATCGGTGACTATAAAAACGAGCCGCAACCACCCACACATGGGTGACGCGTCATTGTAACTGTTGAAAGGTGTCCGAATATTACCATTATTCATTGTATAATTTCACACATAATAAAAAGTACCAGTTAAGAATGTTACATTTCGGGTTGTAGAAATTTTTACATAATAATGCAGGTTCGGGTTATCCAGGTATTACCGTACTTTTCTTTTATCGTGCTTGTTCAATCATCGCTGGGTAGGTCTGACGCGGGAGTATTAACCGGACTTTTATTCCGTTCATAATACATGTAAATATACATATATCGATGGAAACATTTGATAATGCCGGTGCGTGTAAAACGCCACGAGGAAAAGGAATACCAGATCGATCCGTCCAATAGTGGACATTGACCGGCAGTGATACCATTAAACTCTTATGCGCAATCGACGAGTGCAAGTTCGTTTCTGTTCGGCTGCAGGAACCACCGTTTGCATATTAACGGCGATCCTGAAATATTTAAACAGCCGATACACCGGTGCTCGAGAGCAAAGCAAATTCAAGTTTAACTAGTTCTAAATTCTTGATGAACAACTTTTGAGTCCTGTCGGTCGTTACCCTTGCATTAATATTTCCCAGGTAATGCTCCGACGTCTGTCGTGTACAATATTTACCGACCTTTTTAATAATTGTTGCAGTCCGCGCACGAGATTTTTGCTCCGTGATCTCTGTAAAATGGTGATTGACATTTTGTACACTTTGGACAGATTTTCTGTGCTATTATTGCACTCATGGCAAAAAGTGATTCATCAGAATTGCTGACGTGAACTATAACGAAATTATTTGCATTTATATTGAGAGTTAAAAATAATTAACGTCCTTGTGCCTTTTTTAAATGTAGTACGGTCTGTTTGCTCGAATAAAATGAAGCATACGGGGCGAAAAATATTAGAGTAGTTTTGATACTTTAAATAAAGGGGATGATAAATTAGGCTGCATAATAAAAATGATCTGCATCATTGTAATATTGATAACTTCAAATTGATGTATCAATATTCTTAGTTTCTTTTGATTTGTTCACTGTTTTAAATTATATCTACACATTTTTGAAAAGTGAATATAAATTTTTAAACAATTCTAATCTTTTTAATATAACAGATGTATAAATGCTTTCTGAGAATACTTTGTGATCATAGTTATTTCTCTTCGTGGCTCAAGGGGTTTGGCAGATATTCTATCTACTTGATAAGCATTATTGAAAAAGGAGAAATTTAATATATTGTCAACCTAAATTGCCAATTTATTAAAAGGCTGGTGAACGAACAATCGAATTTTCCATTTAATCCTTTGAAATATTTATCAGCTGTTTCGTAATAGTTATCGATGGCCTACATTTGCGCGAGCTATGCGTGATGTCCTGTATTCCCCATTCGAATATGTTAGCGATGTCATTGGCACGTGGCAGGGGTACGTCTGGGGTAAAACACATAGCTATAGATGGACTCGCCGAAGACAGGTGTATTCACAGATTGTATAGCTCTAGCGCCTGATAGACAGTAAATATTAATTGTAACAAATACATAGACCGCGGATTTTATGCATCGATGACCAAAATTAATAAGTGGAACACAAAACTATGAAGTGATTAGGATTTAAGAATATTTTATCATTATTTCCAACTTATTAAAATTAATAACAGGAGAAGTACATTTTTATTTAATTTACATTTTTTATAAATGACTTGGAGAATTTCTGCTTTTGAAAATTACGCTTCAAAATTATTGTTTTGCATAACGATATCCTTGTAACAAGTAGATAGTTCTTTACAATAACTTCGTTCTCAAATTTTGAAACAATAAATACCAATTTTCCGTCAATATTTCATGGTCGAAAAAGATACAGTACTTCTTATTTTTCTTACATAATACAAAAATAAAAAATCTATACATAAATGTATATGTAAACAATGCTCCATGTTCCTTGTTCCATTGTTGTATACAATGCCCCATGTTCATTGCCTGTGTACGATATTCCATGTTCCGTTACTCCATAAAATAATCCATGTTCTTATTTCTTATAAAACATTCCACTTTCAATTCTCGTAAACAATAAACCATGTTCCAGTTTTGTATAGAATGTTTCATGTCCGATTCTTGTTTTTATGTTAAACATACCGTGTCTATTATATTAAACATACTATTACTTTATACACTGTTTCGTGTTCCATTCTTGTGTACGTTGTTACATGTTCCATTCTTGTATACAATGTTCCACGTGCTGTTCTTCGAAATCTTCACAAAGAATTTATTACAGCGCCGCAATCTGCAAATCCCGATCTCAATCATAAATAAAGGTAACTCGATTACAATCGAGAAGAAAGTAGTTACGCAATAAATCAGGTAGATAAAAGTGAGCTAACGAGTGAGCTATACAGTTGCGCGATGACGAGGTATTTTCTCGTCTATTCTGCTTTCGTTAAATTCATGAAACAAGATCCCATTTCAGATGATCGTAACTCGTTGTGATCAGAAAATCTAACGAAATTTCTGGTTGACCGTTGACTCGGCGAAGACTATTAACCAGAAGCAGTGTTCGCGAACAATGAATGGTCGCGACCTCGTTTCTTGATTGCAAAATCAATATTTGCGATTTTATCCATACTTCGAACCTCTTTGCATAAATTCCCGGCTGGTCACGGTGATTGCGTTACGACATTTCATCGCGACTCCCAGTCGTTTAAAAAATTATCTGCTTACCGACAGCTCCGAAGCAGTAGAACGTTTCCGGGAACTGCCAGACGATTAGATGGAACGCCGGTATTTTCGAGTGTTGCGCGAAACTTCACTCGAGAGTATGTACCAATTACGGTGGGGGGCGGATGAATTATGCATCCGGTTGGAACCATCGTGAGGAGATTAAGACTACCGACGACGGAAAAAGTCGATGCGGTATATCGGGAAATGCCTAACGATTTCCGTAAATAATTACTGACCCGATAAGCAGTGGCTGTAAGGCAGTTGAGAGGGTTTGAACTCACTCGTCCATCCCTGCAATATTTACGAAAGAAACAGGGGAAAGTCGTGTAACGAGTTATCGATCATATCGTAGACAAGCATCCGATGCCAGCGTTCGACGATTATCGAGCGAGAAATTGACCGCTGACTTCCTACCAATTTAATTAACACGTACGGCAGTAATAGCTTCATTTCAATGAGGAAATTTAATAGAAAGGAAATTTAAGTTTGCCCGCAAAATTTGATCATTTTTTGCGCACAATGTTCCAGAATTCTGTAGGATATTCAACATTCTATTCTTTTCTAGTAGAATGTTCTATGTGCGAATCTTCTATGCAGTGTTTTATGTATTATAATGCAGATCTTAATAATCCATTCTTGTATATGTATAGTGTTTCATATTATATTCTTGTGTATACAATGTTCTTGTACAATATTCTTGTATAGAATGTTCCATGTTCCATTCTTGTATGCAATGTTCCATGTACCGTTCTTGTACACAATGTACACGTTCTATTCTTGTATAGAATGCTTCATGTTCCATGTCCATTCTTGTATAGAATGCTCTACGTTCCATATTCCATTCCTGTATACAATGCTCTATGGTCCATTCTTGTATACAATGTCTTATATTTTATTTTTGCATGGAATGTTCCACGTGCATATTTTGTACATAATTTCCTATGTTCCTTTTTTCTATAAAATATTCCACGTTCCATTCTTGTATAAAATGTCTCAGGTTCTATTCTTGTATACAATGTTTCATGTTCAATTGTTGTATACGATGTCGCATGATCCATTCTTGTATGCTATTTTCCATATTTCATTTTTGTTCACAATATTCCATGTTTCTTTCCCGATGTTCCATGTTTTATTATTATATGTAAAGCTGCATGTTCGATTTTTTTTATGCAATGTCCTGTAGTCAATTCTTGTATACCATGTACCGTATACCTTATACATATATTCATTCATTTTTTATATGTATCTTCACGTCTCATTCTTGTATATAGGGATTCATATTCCAGTTTTCTTTTCTACAAATAATGACTAGATTGTATACGTTCATGTAAAATAAATCTTATCTGTAACAATATCAAATACCAAAAAATAATTCGGGGATGACTTCATCTCATTACAGCATATTTTGCCATAATTGTATGAAATACACAGTCTGATAATTACAAATGTTTTCCTTTTGATTCAATATTGAATAATATATTATTGCACAGTAAATGGTACATCGTAGTAGTACAGTAGATAAGTGTCTTTCTCGTATTTTTACATGTAGTTTGATCTAGAAATTAATTATTGGTAACGAGTGATTGGATGTACTAGATGGGTAACAGTGGCTTCTTCTTGCAGAATGCCCTTTTCAGGAGCATGGTGCAAAGTATGGATTTATTTCGGGTTCGTGTTCGCATGGACAAAAGGGGCTCGTCCCCGTTTCGATACCTCCACGGACATGGGATTAGTTTTGGTGCCAGCAGATGCAGAAGTTGATTCAGTGATTTTTAGGCTACGCGCGACTGACCAGGATGCTGATTTTCCACTTGTCTTTGAAATAACTGGTAATCCTTTCTTAATCAGTAGTTCCTTTTTTACAACACGAATATTTTCAGTATCTCATAAGACATTGAACATAACTTCGTCTGCTTTTGTACATAATTAATTCAAATAACTAATCTAAGCAATGTTTACAATGTTACAAAAAGGTGCCGGTAATCGACCAGTAAACAAACTAGAAAATTAAGCGAAATGTAAATAACTGAGGTACAATTATCCCACGTTGCTACCACTTTAAATTCAAAACATATTTAAACGGATTAAAAACGGACTAAACAATTGAGGAGTACTTTATTTCCATTATTATAATGACAAATAGATTTTGAATTTTGTGTCTTTGTGGTCAAAAATAAAAAAGAATAAGTGAAAAATAGTAATAAATATGAATGAAAATTAAGAATATCGTCACATTGCTATCGAATGGCTAAAATTGTTAAAATGTGCAATGTATTTCTATTTAATCTCATTCATAGAATTCATAGAATTCATAGAATTCACATAGAATATGAAACTGTTTTTCTAAAGAAAAACAGCGCTCGTATCCAAGGTTACAGAATACTATTTGTTTGTCCAGCTACAATCACACCTGTTGTAAGGATCGACAATCTTCCCTGCACCCTGTACAACAAAGTGTGCCAGGCTAATGTGATTCTAACGAAACGACTAGTTCCTGGACGCCTCCACGATTTTGCCGTGAGGGTTAGGGACACGAAGGGTGACTCGAACTCGATGCAAGCCACTATTTCTGTGACGAACGCCACTACCCCACGTGATAAAATATTCCCGCACATACCTTCCCTCATAATGGTGCCCGAGGTAAATTGTTTATCGGCAGAAACAAGGCGATTAACGGGGCTGGGACATTTTACGGCAATTTTGGCACGTTCGCTGCGAAAAAACGAATCACGACTTTTTTTTGGGAGAGTTTAATTTACTATTTGTGCCCTTTGCGTCCTGAGTCATGGCATTTTTCATTGCTGTTTTCGTTGTCGATAATTTTGTTATGACCGAATAACGCATGTATTCAAAATAAATAATTAATAAAGTTGTATATTAAATATAATACAAAAGAATTAAGAAAGACATGTGTTAAATGCGGAAAATTAGGGAAGACATTATATTAAATACAAACAATTAACAAAGACATGTATTAAATGCAAACAATTAACAAAGACATGTATTAAATGCAAACAATTAACAAAGACAT